GCGCCAGGCCTCTAGCGGCCAGACTCCTGAGGATGACCTGGATGGGCCACTCTCCCTGCAGCTGGCTGGCAGTCTGTTTGAATAAGGAACATTTATTCTTCACAGGACAGCAGCAGGTCACCTCAGAAGGGGAGTTTTAGCACTCAGGCCACCCATTCTTCCCACTCCTGCTTCCTATCTCACCTCTCCCTGCCTCTCAGTGCCTTGGGTACACCTCTCGGCTCCAGGCATCCTTGCTATTGGCTTTCTCAGTATTTCTCTGCCCCTGTGTCCACCATTTGGACCTCACCCTCCTACTCCTAGCACAAATTCACAACTCTGTCCTTTGAGATGGACCGCTGCACTCCTTTGCTTCTTGACCCTGAGTTTGCGCTAGGTCACAGTTCCGCCCAAGGTCTCTACTCTCCTGGCGGTGACCAGATGGACTGGTGGCAGGTGACACTCAATTGGATGAACGGCCCGCCCAATGACTTAGGACTGTGAGATAGACATTGGTGTCCAAGTAAGAAGGACGAAAACACTCACCACACCTAGGAGGAGACCCCCCTCCTGTCCTTCAGCCAGGGATAGACCCAACATGCCCTGGAGCTGCCTAACCGCCTCCCTGGTTCCCACCTCTACCCCCAACTGCCTGCTGGGCTCCTGACCCCTGCTTGAAGTTGCTTTGCCAATTTGGAGGCAATGCTAGGAAGACCAGTCTAGCAACCTTTGATGCTAATGGGTAGAAGGTAAAAGGGATGCCCCTCACCCCGACCCTGGCGCTGGGCTTGGCCAGCTCAGCTTCACACTCCTGCTGCAGAAGCAGAGCCTCAGCAACTCCTTGACCTAACCTTCCCTTTGATCTTGTGTGTGTGTGTGGGGGGGTGTGGGGGGCTGAGGCTCTCTCCTCCCTGTAGGGGTACCTTCCCTAGGGATCCGGGCATTGGAGCCTCTCCAGAGGGAGCTGATGTTGAGAACAATTCCCTTGCTTGACACAGTGTGTGTGTGTGTGGGGGGGGGGGGTGGCAGGGGACACCAGGGCTCAGGACCCAGTAACTCGCCTGGGGCCAGAGGGGTCTTTCCAGAACTTAGCAGGGCTGACCTTCCTTCCCTAGTGCGGGAAGACCCCGGGGTGAAGCTGCGGCTGGCTCAGGGCATGGAGCTTCCCTTTTCCTTCTACACCCCACATTCTGAGAGCTGCTCTCACTGGAGCCTTGGGGTACTGTGCGATTTGGCCACCCTCGCTCCAGCGGATGGCCCAGGGACCTTGAAGGTGGGCACAAGGGGCCTTCTGCTGCCGTCTCCTCTGTTTTGGTCCCCATCACCAAAAAGGCTAGAATCGGTCTTTCTCTTTTTCTGTCTCTCTCTCTCACGCATCTCTCTTGGCTGCCCTCCGCTCGGTCCTCATGTCCCTGGCTAGGCAAAGTGTGGTGGCTCCCGAGTGCTGGCTGCTGGGGTCTGAGTCCCATGGCCTGCTGTGCTGACCTTGGTGTAGCCGGGATCGTGTTGCTGCTGCAGAGCACAGCAACTCCGCGGGCCCCAGTTTCTCCCCTCACAAACAGGGTGGAGGCCTGGAGCAATAGGCCACAGTAAGACTTTCCCCTCTTTTCCTGCAGCCCTGGGAGCTACTGGCAGTCCATCAGCTGCCAGTATGGAATCCCTAGCAAAGCACCCCACCTCCCTGCACCCCAGTCTAGGTCAGAGATGGGGCTGGATACTTCTAACCTTCTTGAAGATTTTCCCCCAGTGAAGCATAGGACAGACTCCATGACCCAAGACTCCGTGATTGACTAACAGCTTCTCTGAGTGCCCAGCCATGGCCTTGGCCTTGACATGGACACACCTTGCCAGGGAGGCCTCAGCTTCCTAACGCTGTGTCCCGGCCACCCACCTTTCCCCACAGGCTCAGGGACGGTGACGGATCCATCCTTCCCAACTCCCAAGTGACCCGCCCCCTTCACTTACTTCTCATGACTGAGCCGGCCTGGGCTCCCTGTCTTCCTCAGCTGGGGTGCTCCAGGGATAGGGCACACACAGCTGGCGGTGGAGGTGGGGGTGAGGCCCTCGCTGCTGTGGTGCCTCAGCCCGCAGCCCTGCACCCAGCTCTCCCCAGTGCTTCTGGGCCAAGGGTTTATGCTCCGCACCACACAGGTGGCCAAGTGACAACCCCTCTACCCCGCCCCCCCAGGGGTGCCGTGGGTAAGATGACAGGCGCCCCATGTGGCCAATCTGGGCCTGGGGCATGGTGCAAGGGGCGGGGCAGCCAATCATAGGGGGCGTTGGAAAATTCCAAAACCACATGTGACAGCCACACGCGGTAAAAGCTGTTTCCACCCACCACAGTAGCTCTGGCTGCGGAGCTGGGATGGAGCTCACACACACCCGGGACCATGCTCCTGCTTCCCTCCCATTGAGGAGTCTTTCTCCTAATCCTCACAGGGGACTCCAGGGACAGGAAGGAGAGCTGCTCGAGGGCTGCCCGAAGGTGGTAGCACCTGCTGCCTGAGACCCTATAGACAGCGCACAGCCATGCCCGACGCAGCGTAGTCCAGGAAGCCCCACCATGCCCACGTTCTCCCTACCGACACAATGTGCCCCCATGGTGGAGGATCAGGAAATCAATAGTAGTAATAACAGTCGCCAGGCAGGTGCCTCCAGCCTGCAGAACAGAGACTGCCTCAGGATCAAAGCTGCTAGAACTGGCGTGCAGGAAGGAAACATCAGCATTATCACTACCTTCGCCATCATGTTCGTAATAAAAACGCCTGACTGTAGTTATGAATGGTTCATGTGGATTAACTAATCCTCACAAAACACCTCGTGAGGGACCCCTCCTCAAAGGTGAAGAAAGCCAGGGACTGGTATGGATGGCATAGCTGTGTGTCACATGGGCACCGGTTCAGGTCCTGGCTGCCTCGCTTCCGATCCAGCTCCCCACTGATTTTCCTGGGAAAAGAAGATGGCCCAAGCACTTGGGCTCTTGTTCCCCATGTGGGAGACCTGAATGGAAATCCAGGCTCCTGGCTTTGGCTTGGACCAATCCTGCTTGTGACTATTTGGGATGTGAATGAGTGGATAGAATATGTCTCTCTTCCTCTTTCTAACTCTTCCTTTCAAATAAGTATATGTTAAGAAAAAGAAAAAAGAAAAAAAGATGAGGGAAGTGAGGCACAGAGAGGTTAAGTAGCGCATCCAGTGCCACACAGCCATGACATGGTAGAGTCGGGATTCAAACCTGGGCAGACTGGCTGAGAATCCCACTTGGGGGATGGCAAGGTTTCTCTTGGTTTAAGTGTTTTGGGGGTGTCACAGCTTAGGGGCCCTCTTTGCTTGTGACTCTGAGTTTTTTAGTCTCAGGGTCGTTCTTAGGTCATTTGATTTCTGCTATGTATTTCCTGGGATCCCTCAGCCTTGGGGGTTCCCGCTTTAAGGCCCCTCAGTATTCGGGCCCTCTCTTAGACTGGGGGTTCTCTCTGGCCTCCTTGTCTTGGATCCTTCTTGGGGTTGTGTCAGTTTGGGGACCTGGCCTGGGAGTGGCCTTAGCATCTTCTGGGTCCTCTGGGTCAGGCCTCCTAAGACAGCTGTGGTCCCTGCAAGGTCTCTAACAGCTCCACCCAAGGTTGGGTCCAGACCTTTCCTTGCTGCGTCTGTAGGACCTGGGCAGTATGATGGAGGATAGGCTGCCCGCAGGAGACATTTATGTCCTGGGGCTGATAGCTGACCAAAGACTAATGAAGGGCCAGGAAGGACATGAGGAAGGTAGGTCTTGGGCCCAGTTCCTGTGGTGAGGCATTAAAGCTAGGAATGGGTTTTGGCCTCTCCTTGTTCCCACTGCTCCAAAAGTCCCCCTAATCCCCCCACCCACATATGCTCCTTGACCATCCCTCCCCACCCAAGTTCAGCCACGTCACTCCCTGACCCGTTTTCCTCCCAGGGCCCTGCTCAGCATTTCCGTGGGGCCCTGTGGCCGGGGCAGGTGAGGCACAGTCAGGATTGTGCTGAGTAAAGTAACCCCCCACTCCCTGCCAGGAAGGTGCAGCATCCTTGATGGCCCCCAGCCCCAGAGTGTGCAGCTTGAGCAAGTGGGTAGTGCTTGGGCAGGTGGGCAGTGCTTGACCGCTGAGGTGCCTCTCTGGGAGCAGGAGAGGTTCCGGGTGACTCTGGACTGGGCAGGAACAGGCGGCAAGCAACCGGGAGGAAGTGGTGAGCTCTCTCCTTAGACTGGGGGTCATGGAGGACAGAGGCCCCGCAGTGATCCTTACCCATATGTGCTCACACGGGGCTAGAGGCTGTTGAGGGCAGGCATGACCCCCAAAAGGATAACAGTTTGGGAACCTAATGGGTGCATCTCCTGGGAGATCAGCTTCTCCACCAGCCAGGTGTTGGGGAGTTCCTCGAGAGGGTGCTAGCTCGTTAGTATCCGTAAGGAAGTCCCTCCCTAGCTCTAGCCCCCTTCTCATGTGCTATAGTCTCCATCATGCAGAGCTCCAGGGTATGGGATTTGCTATGAAAGACCAAGGCTTTCCTGCTCTCCGATCCTGTGCAGCCTGGCTCCTGGTTCATTCACACATCAGGATGTGTTAACCACACCAAACCTAGAGTTGTTGCCACAAAGCCTTGGGCAGACTCCCGGGCCTCCCACAGCTACCACCACTGCCTCCCATACTCTCCATCTCCTCCTGTTTCTGTCCTGGGCCCTCTCCCGGCTCGTGTACCTCTGTCCAGCACCTGCTCGCCTTTCTTGGTTCCCTTTTCTTTTGTTCTTTCCCAGTTTTCCCACGAAGTTCCCGTCCCCGTTCAGGGCTTCCTCTGTTATCTTCTCTTATTACTGTCACCCACGGTTTCTCCGCTCTCCTCCCAGGCTGTGCCACTCTTGCAGGTCCCTGCCTCTCTGCCTGCCTTCCCCCAGCTCTGCCAAGCCCTGCACCTTTCTTTTATGCAAACCTCCCAGAGTCTTTGCTGAATGCTTCTCCATCACGCCACGTTCAGGCACCAGCTCTTGCCCTCAACCCCATACTCACAGGTGTGGGTCTTCTTCGCCACCAGCAGTTCTATAAAGAGAAGAGAGATCAGAGGCAGATGTGGCAGATCTTGGGGGCCGGGGTGTCTCCTCCTCCCGTTTACAGGGTCCCGCCCTCCCACCCCATTCCTTCCTTCCCAGCAGTGCCTGGCTGGCTGGTATCTGAGGAGAAAATGGCCACACTCTCTTTCCTTCACCCTCGCTGGCCCTCAGCCAGGTCCTCACAGTGCCAGGCGCCTCAATCACCTCTGGGACTTCCCCAAGCCCCTCCCTCTGCCTGGAATACCCAACCTGGCCACACCCCTTCATGAGGCAGCACCTTCTCATTCCCCTGGGTCCTTGGGGACACCTGCTGTCCACGGCTCATCCTTTGTCCTTGTGTTTCCATGCCTAGCACCTTGCACTTGATTTGCTGGCCCTCACGACAGCATCGAACGGTCACAACTGTCTAGTCAGCTACCAGATGGGGTTTTCCTGTGGGATTGCACACCCCATGGGGGCAGGGTTTTGTCTGAGTGATGAGTCTTTCCATTCACAGAGTCCTCCAGCGTCTGACACGTGACAGGTGCTCAGGGAGCATCTTGTAGCCAGAGCTAAGTCCCCGTAGAGAGAAAGCTCTTGGGTGCTCGTTTCTGCCTTGAAAGCACCAGAGGGGTTGGCTGGCAGGGTGGCGAGTGTGCCTGGAACTCTGCAGGAGCATCTGCTGAGGGCAGACCCGGAGTCAGAGCGTGCTTAGGGGTGCACCATCAGGAAGTCCCAGGGCATGGGACACTTCCCCTGCCAAACTTCAGTCCAGTTCCTACAGCTGCAGCTTCTCCCAGAACACAGGGACATGCCTCATCATCCTCTAGCTTCCTTAGCCTCGGACTCAGTTCTCCTGCCACCTTTTTCCTGCTGTTGTCCAAGGCTGCTGCACACTATCCTCCACGCCTGTCCCTTGCCACACAGCCCACTGGATGGCAGGGTGGGTCTGGGCTGTGCTTCGGTGGAGGAGGGGGAATGGCTGTCGGGAGGGGTGTGGCCCCACTCAGCCCCGCCCACCTCCCCTGCTGATCCTGCTTAGCCCTGCCCAGTTTCCTCTCTGACGTGGCACCCCTGCCTCCTGCCGACCGCCCTGCACCTCGCAGCAGTGCTGCCCTGGGGGTGTTCCCGTCGCTGACCCAGGTAGCTGAGCTCGTCCTCCACTAGGTGGCCCTGGAGCTTGGCAGCTCTGGAGCTCACCCCGAGCATGCCTGTGGCGGTGGGCGCCTGCTCTGAGGGATTCCTGAGTTAGGGCCATCAGGGAAGCCTAGGAGTACCTGGCCCTCTGCCTCCCTGCCTCTGGCCCGGTGCCCTACATTTTCTGCGGAAGTGAAACTCCGCACTCTAGGCCAGGGAGAAGGAAGGTGCCAAGCTGGTAGGCATGGGCAGCTGTCAGAGTGCTAATCCCCCTTCCTCCCCAAAGCCTCCCTAAAGGCAGGACAGGTTCCTCCACTGGTATATGAGCAGGTGGAGTGGCCAGGCACCCCCAGCCGCTGCTGCCCGAGGTTCTTGGCCAAGCTCAGGGCCCCAGAACAGGGTTCCCAACTTGTCTCAGAGGCTGGCTCGGTTCTGCAGGGGGCTGCCTGTGTCCAGGTACCTTCCTGGATCTGGCTGCTCGTGTTCTGACATCGCTCCCCTGAAAGCCTACAGTCTCCTTATTCATCCCTTCTCCCCTTCTCTACTCCTGATGCATTTCCCATTTCTCTGTCAGTTCTGCAGCCCCTCCCCCTTTCCATCCAGGTGGTCCTCTCTGTCAACCCATCTCTCCCTCTCCCCCACCCCCTCTTCTTGCCCAGTCTTTTCTTTTCCCATCTCCCCTCTTCTGAGCCCGCCTGCCCCCCAGGGAAGTCCCTTGCACCTGCCTGCAGGGCCGTGGGGTCTCTTCCCCCGCGAGGCTTGGAGGTGTCTCTGTGGGGCCCTGTCCATGGGGCAGCTCCCTTGTGCTGTCCTTGCTGCCCTGGCTGCCCAGGAGGGCAGGGAGCAGGGCCCAGGGGAGGGTGGTGGGGGAGGGAGGAAGCACCTGGCCCGTCAGCAGGCAGGGGAAAGGAGTGGCTGGCAGAGCGTCCTGGCACAAAGGAGGGACATGGGAAGAGAGCAGTGCAGGAGCTTGGAGCCTGGAGGAGAAACCAGGTAGTGCAAAGAAGGCAGCTAGCACCTGCTGATCACTGCTGTGTACGCAGCGCTGCATGTGTAAATCCACGAATTAGCGTTACCTACATTCTCACAGCACCCACCACGGGGCTGCCACGTGGTTGTTCCACATTCACTGCTTAGAGATTTACTAGCTAGTACCCTGCTAGTGCCCTGCGCTGGGGACAGAAGGCAGCTGCGCTTTTTGTTGAACCCACGTCTTGAGAGTTCAAGAGCCTTGTGGTGTTGATTGAGCTGGGATAGATTACAGGGCCAGGGGAAGTGGGAAGGGAAGAAATGGGGGAGGAGGACAGCTTTGGGGAGTTGCTCATTGCAGGAGCTACTCGGGTTCTTGGGCCCACTTCATGCTCCCCTCCCTGATCCTCCCTGATCCTCCCTGGATACCCCGATGCTCCCACAGGCTCCTGCTCTACTGTGGGGAGGGTGCATTTACCCAGGTGGGAAGGGAGTCACTCGGAGCTGGTATGGAGGAGGGGAGTATGGCTTGCACTGAGAGGCTCTGCAGGGAAGCCCTGGGAGCAGGCTTCAGCGCACCCTGGGGCCCCTGTTTCTCCTGCAAGGCCTCAGCCCAGGGTTTGATTAGCTGCGCCTGGCTCTCCTGGTTACCCAACAGGAGGCTGGCCAGATGCCAGGCTGCAGCAGGACGCTCCCTGGCACCTCCTCCTGCTCTGCGCCCAGCTGGTAAACAGTGGAACAGGCAGCAGAGCCAGCCACGCCACTGCCTCGTGACTCGCCCACTCCCCCTGAGCTGGTGCACGTGGCAGCAGGCGTGGAGAAGGCAGGACCTGTGCCTTCTCAGCTCTCCAGGCCCCGCTCCCGCCCACCCTGGCGGCCACCTCCTGTTCCTGGGTAGCTCCCAGAGTTTCTCCACAGCTGCAGCCTGGGGGGCAAAGGTTAGAAGTGGAGAGGGACTTTCCAGCCCCTGAGGTGATTGGGAAGGGGCTGAGGAGTGAGGAAGAGAGAGGGGAAGCTTTGAGGGACCTTTACCCTGGGGAGTCAGGCTCTGTATGGTATAGGGGTTCTGCCTGTCAGTTGCCTTTGACCCCTTGACCCCATGGGCAGGCCCCTCTGGCAGGTGGCAGCAGGGAGTGCAGAGCAAGATCCCCCAGAGCTCCACTTGCACCTACTCTTTGCCCTTTCCTGATGGTCCACCCCCCGCCCCCACCGTCAGGGTTTCCTCTGCTCTGTCCTCTCTGTCCTGCTTCCTCCCCTGAGTCTCCTGCTGGCTTGGCATGGAGCTGAGGCAGGGTGCTTGCACCCCTGGAAGTGTGGGGTGGGGAGGACACAGTGAAGGAGGGCAGGCCTGGAGACTGGAGGGAGTCACACACTCCAGGACATTCGCCTGCCCTGAGCGGGGCTGGCTTGGCTTCTTTATCCCCAGAGCAGGAGGAAGGCACCTGGATAGTCCTTTGGGGAAGTCCTCCCTCTTGCCTAACCTCCCTCCCTCCTGCTCCAATCACAGCCTCCTCTCTGGGAGAATGGGTCTTCTCAGAGCAGGAAAGTGGCGATTTCCTCTTCTAATACACTCTTGTGCAAGCAGGCGGCTGATAGGGATCAGAGAATCACCACCCCCCCTCCTCACCACGTGCCCAGTACCCTTATCAGGCAGAAGGATCTCAAAGCAGGGGGCAAACAGCTTGCTGGGGAGGGGGGGAGGAGGGCGGGAGAGGTGGGAGGCAGGGGCGGTGGTTTGGACCTGAAGAGCAGCCACCAACTTCTCTTTCCCTTCCTCCCCACCCCTAAACCACAGAAACCACATAAAGCTTAGCTCAAACCTGCTCTTCCAAGGAGGGCATGGGGGGCAAAGGGGAAACTCCCGGGGGTCTGGGCCCCCCACTGCAGAGCCCTGCTGGGCCCCAGTGCCGTTGTCCCTGGGAGGCGTCTCTGATGCAAGACCTCACCCTGGGTTCTGGGTAGGGAGGGGTGGGAGGGTGAGAGGGGTGAGGGGATGCTGTATATGCACCTCAGGGGTACCAAGGCGGCACTGGCATGACTCATAGAGGGGCTGTGCTGCCATGGTAGAAGCAGAAAGAGGACAACCTTGGCTGTAGCCTCCCTGTGGCCCAGCTTCCACCCCTCCCCCTTCCTGTCTCAAAGGCCGTGTAGTGGGTGGAGGGAACAGAGGGAGTTTGACCCTGGCTACTGGCCTTTGACTCGGGAGCTGACGGGGCTTGTACTTTTACATTTATGATCAATTGAGCTCACTCAGCAAGAACCTGGAGTTTGGGGCTTTTTATGAGCTAGTGGCGGGGGTCTCTGGGCAAATCCCAGTTCTCAGTCGGCATGTCAGTGGAATAGAGGGATAATAAGGGGGGGGGCGGGCAGTGAGAACTGTTCTGGCTTGTGTGTGTGTCTGAATGCCTTGGGACCCCTGCAAGAGGGGTTCCATGCACTTAATCCTCTGTAGCCTAAGCCTCCCACACGCCTTGCGGTTTGCGCTGAGGGCTGCTCTACAGGCACATTCCACTCAAGTTTTCTGTCCCAGTGCCTTCTTCATAAAATTGAAATGGTATCATGCCCCCTCAGCCAGCAACTGAGGAGGCATTAGTGATGTGACACTAGTAACACAGGTAAAGCACCAGACCGGGTGCAAAGTACTACGGCTAAAACCTGAAGGGTGCCCCTCTGTCTCCTAGCTCCACTTCCTTTGCTGCTGCATTTCTCACTGACCTATCACTACATAGCAATCTCTACATTTCACCTGCTCATTTTGAATCCAGTTTGATCCCCATCACTGCTTCAGCCCCCACTGTCACCCAGAGGCTGGCAAAGCCAGGATCCTCTCTGTGGACTTCCGCTAGCAAGAAGTGTCTTTCTGGTGAGCTTCAGATCCCGTTGCCCACTGAGGGCTGTTAGGGGAGGACCTGGAAGCTGAAGAAACACAGTATAGGACTAAGGGCAAGCTAGGCTCATGGGTGGGTTTTCTGGAACCCAAAAGTGTGAATTCAAACCTGCAGGGGGTGAAGTGAGTTGAAGCCATTGTTCTAGGGAGGGTTACTTCTGAAGGCGCGGGGGAAGGGAGTGTAGGGGATTGGGGGGTGAGGGAGGGCTGAGTGGGGAGCTGGACATATTAGGATGAGGTGATTAAAAGCCCACGCTCTGGAGCCAGATTCTTCTCAGGGTACAAGTCCTCCCTAAGGCCCAAGATCACATTGTATCAGTCCTATGGGAGTCCCTTGGAGGAACAAATGATTTGAGTTCCTCCTGAGAAGATAACCAACCTGTCTGTGGCAGGTGGCACTTTGAATTGCTTGGCTAATGCTACCATCTGGTGGACACCTAGAGTAATATCGTGCACCCTGTGCATAGAGCTAAGTGGCAGGGAGCTTTATCAGGCAAGGAAGGAAAGTGGGGAATCTTGTGCGTGGAAGGATGTGTGTTGGCCCATGGTTGGAGGTCTCTGTGCCACAGTATCATGGTTCTGTGGGCACCCAGAAGGCTTTGCCTGAGGGCAGGTGTTACTGGGTGGCTGGCACCACAGGACACAAAAAGGGCCTTGAAAGGGAGGGAGAAAGAGGCAGGACCGGCCCAGTGCCAGCAGCCGCTCCTCCCTCCCTCCTCCAAAGTGGGCCTGAGCCAAGAACAGCCAGGGAAGGTGGAGGGAGAGACAAGAAGGTCACTGCTGACGTCAGGGACGTTAAGGCAGGAGGTAAATAGAATCTGACCTACATTTCCCCCCACCCACCCCCTTCTAGGTGCCAGCTCCTCCTCCCGTTTGAGGTGGCCTTTGCTGGCATCCCTGAGGGCAGCTCTCGCAGGGTCTGCCTGGTGCTACTCCATCCTTGCCCTCCCTCCCCTCCAAGGTGGCACAGGTGTGGGTTGGCAAGGAGAGCGGGAGGCTGGGAGACATCCCCTGACGTACTCCCCGACCCAGAAATCTCCTCTCTTCTAGAAATGTGTGTGTGTGTGTGTGTGTGTGTGTGTGTGTGTGTGTGTGTGTGTTTGGGGCGGGGTTTCTAACTTCGTCTGCACAGCCCGAGAAGCCCCCGGGCTGTATGTTTGGGGCGCAGCAATGACTCAGGGATGGACGGGCTCTTTCTAGGAGTGGAAGCAGGACTTCCATAGGGTGTGACAGGGACCTTACCGGGCCCTGCCCAGCCAGGATTGTGTCTACTCAACACGCTCTTGACACGTAAAGCATTGTTCAGTGAGATCCGAGATCCGGCTAGCGACAAACGGGCATTTTATTAGTAAAAATAAATACACATGGATGCCGAGGGCATGCAGTAAGAGTTGTGGGCGCTTATGGAGGCCTTGGGAAGAAGCTTACTCCTCCAGCGCCCAGCCCCCACCCCCGCTACGCCCACATAGCCCCCAGTCTACAGGCTGAGATGGGTGGGCGCCAGCGAAGACCCTGGCCCCAGTCCCCCACCCAAGGGGGGCAGCAGGACCATCAGGGGCATCTCACATTCCCCTAGCAGCACGTCCCTGCGGATCCCCGCGCCCCTGTCCAGCACCTTGGCTCGCAGAGTGCGGGTGGCCAGGTCCGGCGGGCCCAGCCCATCGAAGAAAAAGTCCTCGTTGAAGATGGGGTTGGCGCTGCACTTGACCACGCGGCTCCGCTGGGCCCTCGGCCGGACTTGGGGGCGCAACCTGAGCACCACACAGCAGCCGCCGCCGCCGCTCCCGGGGCCGGCCCGAGGCCGCGACAGGCCCTCGGCGCTGACCAGGCGCAGGCGCAGGCGCGCGGGCCCGGCCAGGTACTCGGCCGAGAGGCGCAGCTGGCCGCCGCGCGGTGCCAGACGCAGCACGCTCTCCTTGGTGGGCCGCAGCTGGCAGCACAGGAAGTCCAGGTGGAACAGCGGCGGGGTGGGCGGCCCTGCGCGGCGCGGTGCGGGCGGGCTGCGGGCGGCCGAGCTCGCCCCCGGGGAGCGCGCGGTCCCCCGCCGCCGCCGTCGGCCGGGCCGTGGGGAGCCCAAGGGCGACGAGTCGGGTGACGAGGCTGTGTCGCTGTCGTCCGGGATCTGGCAGAGGCGCAGGTCCGGGGCGGACACGTGCAGCCGTGCCTGTGCCGGGGACAGCCCCACGGCCGGTGGCGGCGGCGGCGCGTGGAACAGGGACTCGCGCCGTCGCGTGTGCGGGCTCTCGGGCAGAAAGGCGAGGCCTTCGCGGCCTGCCAGGTGCGGCAGCGAGCAGGCAGCGAGGAGGCCTCGGACGCACGCGTCGCGCCCGGCGGAGGGCTCGGCGGCGCAGGGGTGGGGAAGTCGAGGCGGGATAAAGAACTGCGGGATGCGATCGGGTGTGAGGACGTTGGGACAGGCGCGCGTCGCCGGGGCTGCACCGTGGCGGTTGTAGAGCAGGCTGGAAGGCGCCCACCGGGTCCTTGGTTCTGCGGTCCCTGCCTTGTAGCCGGCTTTCTCCAAAAGCCACATGCTGGGAGTGGGGTGAGCGGGACGGAGGGGATGGTGGATGGATTTAGAAACTCCGGACTCCGCAGTGCACAGAGGGCCCCATTCCTAGCGAGTCAGGTGGAAGGGCTGCGAGGAACGGCACTGGGTAGAAAGAGGAGAAGCCAGCTGTGGGCGATGCCGTTGCACACCCTAGGCCTAGTGCCTACACCCAGGGTGCTGTGTGAGCAGCAGAAACAAAGGACGGCCAAGTCCATGGGACTAGGGGTGGTGGGAGGTGGCAGGGATCCAGGGCCAGGTGGTCATGGATGCTTGTCTCAGACTCCACCTCTGGCACCCGTCACAGTTAAAAGAGCCGGTACATCCACGAAAGCCCTGGGATACTGTTTGGGAGGACCCAGAACAAAAGGTTTGTAGCCACCAACGCAGACCCAGAATCCGAACCCCACTGGCATGCACGCTCCGCTGAAATGGGGCATCTGCCCTCCCCTGCACCCCCTCAGGATGGGACCCACCACTCGTGGCCAGTCTCTCCCCTGCCTGGGCTTCTGTGCACTGAATTGTTCCCCCACCCCCACCCCCCAGCTCCATCTGCCGCCTCTGGCTCCTCCCTCCTCTTTCAGGGCCAGAAGGGCACTCACTTTCTGCTCCTGGTAGCCAAGAGGACCCGCCTGGCTGCGGATTGGAGGACGCCCAGGGCCAGTTCAAGGGGGCGCACCTCTCAGGGACACAGATCCCACCCCTTCAGGTCCCCGGGGAGCCGCGAGCGCAGCACGGCCCTGCCGCATCTTGGGTCTGGAGGGCGGGGCCGGTCCGCCCCTCCCTTCGTCCACTCCTTTTTCTCCCAGGGAAACCGCTGGGCACAAAGGCCGCATTGATACCCGGCCAGCCCCAGAGCCGGCTCCGGAAGGCTCCGCTGCAACATACCTGTCGGACCCCAGCACCAGGCCACTAAGAGTGTTCCGTGTTGCGCCCTGGTGCTCACTCGGGGCTCACGCCGGGCTCCAGGTGGCCAGCCCCAGGTGCAGGCCTTACCTGTGGGCGGCTGCTGGAATCTGGCCCCTGGCCACGAGACAGTTGGCGCCCTAGGGGAGCCGCTTCTTCTCCAGCTGGCTCCCCCAGTCCTGTCTTTCTGGGAGGAGCTGCCCTGGGCTGCTTACGTCTGACTTCTTTTCCTGGATAAACACAGCTTTGTCTCTCCGAACATCACTGGCCTTCTAGACTCTTCCTCCAGCCTGAGCCAAATTTCTAGCTGCAGCCTGTGGAACCTGCTTGGGGGTTGAGGAGGATTTCTGGCAAGAGGGAGGTCAGTCGGTGGGTAGTGGCCACCCCTCCACTGAGCCTCACGTGCTCCCAGGTGAAGCCCCTAGCTGGGCCTGATGAGTCTCAGTATGTACACAAATCCCCTTTGTTGGAATCTTGCCCCAGTTGCCCTATTCTGGAACCATCCGCAGTAGCTTCTTGACAAGCAATGATCAGCTCTCTGAATTGAAAGTGTCCTGCCTGGGGATTTGTGTGTGTGGAGACAACCTGGGCAGAACTGATGTCCATTATTGTGAGGCTGAGAGGCCCATGCCCTCCAGCCTGGCAGATCCTGGGAAAGTGCAGGCCACCACTGAGAAGACGTCAGCTGCACCGCAGGCACACACACTGCCCTTCAGGCTCTCATTGCCTCCTTGCCATGGTTAGCACAATGGCCCAGTTAGCTAATCCACCTGCAACTGCTGGCATCCCCTATGGGTGCTGGTTCGTGTCCCGGCTGCTCCACTTGCCATCCAGCTTCCTGCTTGTGGCCTGGGAAAGCAGTCGAGGATGGCCCAGAGCTTTGGGCCTCTGCACCCATGTGGGAGAAGACCCGGGAAAGGCTCCTGGTCTTGGACTGGCTCAACTTGGGCCATTGTAGGCTTTTGGGGAGTGAAACAGTGGAAAGAAGATCTTTTCTCTGACTCTCCTTCTCTCTATAAAGCTGCCTTTCCAATAAAAATAAATGAATAAAACTTAAAAAAAAAAAAACCGTGGACTCTCCCCTCCCTGCTTGTTCTTCCCTCCCCTGCTCCAGGAAGCCCTCCTACATAAAGTAAGGGTTGCACCCCTCTCAGCACCCCACACTTGCATTTGCAACATGTATTATAACTTGTAATTTTCCCCTCTTTGTGTGATTATTTATCATGTCTCCCTCATAAAACTATAAGTGTCATGAGGTTAGGGCTTAGCACTGAGTCAAGAATTCTGAGTGAGTTAATATTACCAAGCAGGATTATACTTGAATCAACTTGTTCATCCATTCACCTAGTGCCTGCAGTGTTTCAGGCACCATGCTAGGTATGCATGTGTGTGTTCATACCATGGGGAACTTTCCAAGGGTAGAAACAGACAATAGCCATTGCCACAGTTTGGGTATTAACTTTGATTCCCCTCAGGCCACATGTTAAGGGCTTGGCTCTGAGGTGATATTGTTAAGGAGAGGGGTGGATTTTTGGTTTGATCATTTAGGAGATGACTCCAGTGGGAGGTCCTTAGGTCAGCAGGGGCATGTCCTGAGAAGGTGGAGCTCCTCCAAGGGTGTGCGGAGTGTGGGCTGATGTGGTGGTGTAACAAGCTAATCCTCTGTTTGCAATGCTGGCATCTCCTACGGGCCCTGATTCGAGTCCTGGCTGCTCCACTTCTGATCCAGCTCCCTGCCTGTGGCCTGAGAAAGCAGCGGAGCATGAGTGATCCTTCCTGTGTCTGTGCTGTGCCACCTCCACTATCCTCACTGGTCTTCGAACCAGGGGTGCCAGCCTGATTTTGAGCTGTGAACCACCCAAACCAAGAGCCAGAACAAACCTCCTTTCTTTACAAATAGCTTCTCTCAGGTTTTTTTTGTCATAATGGTGAAAAGTTGATTAGTATAAACATGGAAATGACAAGTACAAAAAGATACCACCTGAACCGCCAATGCCAGGAAGTTACTCCAGAGACCTGTCTGCATCTGTGGGGATAGTCAGGGGCACGTTGCTTTGCCTGTATCTCTGTCCTTTATGGCTCCGTGCCATGCAGCCCTGTGGGGTCTCCTAATCCATGCTCCTGCCTTTAGCCTTTCTGATCCCTTCTTGCCACCAAGGTCATCTTTTTAAAAAACAAAACTTTAGGGGCTGCTGAATGGCATGGCTGGCTAAGTCACTGCCTATGACACTGGTATCCCATATGAACACTGACCGGTTCAAGTCCCAGAAGCTTCACTTCCAATCCAGCTCCCTGCTAGAGGCCTGGGAAAGCAGCAGAGGATGAACCAAGTGCTTGGGCCCCTGCACCCGTGTGGGAGACCCAGAAGAACTCTTTGTTCTTGGTTTTGGCCTGGCTCAACCCTAGGTGTTACAGTCATTTAGGGATACAAGATCTTTCTCTCTCTCTCTCTGTCATCCTTCTCACTCTCTGTAATTCTTTTTTATTTTTTTTAAGATTTATTTATTTGTATTGGAAAGTCAGGTACACAGAGAGGAGGAGAGACAGAGAGGAAGGTCTTGCGTCCGATGATTTACTCCCTAATTGCCTAATCCGATAATTCAAGTGACTGCAACGGCTGGTGCTGTGCAAATCTGAAGCCAGGAGTCAGGAACTTCTTCCAGGTCTCCCACATGGGTGCAGGGTCCCAAGGCTTTGGGCCGTCCTCGACTGCCTTCCCAGGCCACAAGCAGGGAGCTGGATGGGAAGTGGGACTGCTGGGATTAGAACTGGCGCCCATATGGGATCCTGGCACGTTCAAGGTGAGGACTTTAGCTGCTAAGCCATGCTGCTGGGCCTACTCTCTGTAATTCTTTCAAGTAAATTGTAAAAAGTAAATTAAAAATACCCTAAAAACAAAATAAGAAAACCAAAACTTTAGGGGCTTGGTCAAGCCACTGCCTGCTGTACCAGCATCCCATATGCTACTTCTAAACCAGCTCTTTGCTAATGTACCTGGGAAGGCAGCAGAGGATGGTCCCAAGTCCTTGGCCCCTGTACCCATGTGGGAGACCCGGAAGAAGCTCCAGGCTTCAGAATTGCCTAACTCAGGTTGCTGCATCCATTTGGGGAGTGAACCAGTGGATGAAACACTTTTCCTCCTTCTTTCTTTCCTTCCCTTCCTGCTTCCCTCCCTCCCTCTTTCTTCCTCTTTCCTCTATAACTCTGCCTTTTAAATAAATAAATAAATAAAATCTTAAGCCAAAATAAAAAATAAACCTTTGCTACTTTGCAGCTCAAACTCTACAAACTCGCAGCTGCCAACAAGCTCTGTGCACAGGAGGGTTTATGAAGCCTCTTTGACCTGCCCCTGCCCATCATGTTGCTAGACTCAAAAGCCCTCTGTTTCTTCATTCCCATGTGCCTGTTCTACTTCTTCCTTCTGCCTGGCCTGTCTTTCCCACCCTGCCTGCCTGGGGAGTACCACTCAGCTTCCTCTAGCTAAGCTTTCTCTGATGACTTTCAGAGAGTGAAAGTGGGCCCATCCTGCACTGGTGATGGGACCAATACAGGCCTCTCAGGTGTGCATCCTAGAGCCAGGAGCTGTGTCTGCATCACCTGCGTGCATTTCTATCAACCTGCTTCTGGTTCTCTGCCTGGCAGATGCTTGACAAGTGTCTTTTGACTCAGCTGAAGGAGAGGTAGGGGATGTGGGAAGCCCAGTAAGGATATCCATTCCAGCACCAGCAAGTGGGATTGCAAGACTTTATTTGACTCCTAGGAAAGTGCCTCCCCTCCAAGTTGCCAGCCCGTTCCTAGCACAAGTTCCCTGCTTGGCGAGGGGGCCCTGGCAGGCTTGCGGGAGGCTCTCCTGATGGCGCAGTGACCCTCACTGGGGTGACTCTTTTTCCAGCGGCAGCCGAATGAAAACACCTGCAGAAGGTGAAGTGAGTGGCAGGTATCAGGCCTGAGGTGATGGGAGTAAGATGAGCCACTCTAAGCCTGTTGCTCTGAATTTCTCCTTACCTGGGCCCACCCTAGTGCAATTGTGTAACTCTTACCCAGCAGAAACAAATGTTGGAGGCTCCCCCTGCTTCATCTGCACCTTCAGCAGGTGCCTGCTCCCACCCTTGGCAAGGCTGAGCCTAACCAGGCTCTCCCTGGCGTTTGCTCATGGATAGGATGGAGGCTGAGGACTTCCTTACTAGAGGACTTGGCGTAGAGTGTCTGCTGGTCTTGGCTCTGGGTGACACAGGACAAGTAAAGCTTCTGGTCCTCGATCTTGTCCACTTCCACGTTCAGAACAGCCAGGGAGCCCACGGGGATCAAGCTGGAAGAGGAGGCAGCTGAGTCCAGCCATCACGTGAGCTCTGGCCCCCTCTCCTCATGTCTGTGCGCCTCCTCCTTCTTATCATCACACCTTGCCTCAAGGACTCCCTGGTGACCCTGGGAGAGATTTGGGCTTAGGGCCTGCTTGTGGGACGCCAGAGCTTGTGTTCTGTCCAAGGATGCAGGCATTGCTTGGGAGAGGGCAGGAGAAGGACAGTTGTTCAGCTGCCAAGCTCCCAGGGGTGGAAAGGGCTGTGACTTGGACCCACACCTCCAGACTCTGTACTTACTGCTTAAACTTGATGTTGAGGGTCAGTGTGAACAGCCCCTCCCCAGCCAGGTAGGCCGTTTTGGAATAGGTCTCGTCCATCATGGCTGCCAGGGACCCTCCATGAGCAAATCTGGAGGTTGAGGGTAGAAAACAAGGCCAGAGTGGAAGCTGTCAGGCAGACCTCTTTCTGGGGCTTTTCCTCCACCCTCTTCTGCCCCTCCCACCATGCCCTTTCCCCGGGGCCCTTCAGAGGCCGATGGTCAGTCAGTAAGGGAAGTATGCTGCCAGAACAAGTCAGTCTGCAGGAATTTGTAACCACCAATAACAATTCTTGCTTTTTATCAAGAAAAATTGTTTTGGGGGCCAGTACCATGGAGTAGCATGCTAAGCCTCCACCAGCAGGGCCAGCATTCCATATGGGCACCGGTTCAAGTCCTGGTGACTCCACTTCTGATCTAGCTCCCTGCGTGTGGCCTGGGAAAGCAGCAGAAGATGGCCCAAGTCCTTGGGCCTCTGCACCCATGTGGGAGACCCAGAAGAAATTCTTGGCTCCTGACTTTGAATTGGTTCAACTGTTGCAGCTATTTAAAGAGACAGAAATCAATTTCTTTCTTTCTTTCTTTCTTTCTTTCTTTCTTTCTTTCTTTCTTTCTTTCTTTCTTTCTTCCTTCCTTCCTTCCTTCCTTCCTTCCTTCCTTCCTTCCTTCCTTCCTTCCTTCCTTCCTTCCTTCCTTCCTTCCTTCCTTCCTTCCTTCCTTCCTTCCTTCCATGGAAAATCTTTCTGTCTCTCTCTCTCTTTGTAACTGCCTTTTACATAAAAATACATAAATCTTAAAAACAACAATCTTGGCGTCACCAACAGACGTGCTTCGGGTTGGTCACCTGCTGGTGGCAGTGGCTGCCACTCTTGGGAAGCGGGAAACCTAAGTGAGGCCTGAGCTCAGGTCTAGGGGTGAAACCTGAGGATCCGGTGAGAGTGCTGCCCAAAGGGGCGCTCCACTCTGCTGACCACGGAAAGGAGGACCTGTGTCAGCTGCATCCTCGGAGTCTGACCTTTATGTACTAGTAGCTTCATTGTCCCTCAGCTTGGGGCACACCAAGAGGCATTCAGCTTCAAACTGCAAATCACACCTAACCAAGTCAAATTCCTGGTTCTCAAAAGCACAGTCCCGCTTCTCTAGAGCCCTACCCAGCTCAGCTGTGCTCGCTGTGCCACCATGGGCCTCTGGTGGAGGGAGCTAGCGATCTCTGCCCTCGGACCCTTTCTCCGTTCATTGCCTGCCTGTCCACATGGTGGAGGCTCGTCCTCCTGGCTCTTTGGCCTCAGCTTCTAGAGCTGCTACATCAAGTCACAGTTGAGCGCCCTCAGCCCCGCCCCTACCGCCCTGAGCTTTTCCTTTTCAGAGTGGAGGGTGTGTCTGAGCCCTGCTGTGGTGTGTGAATGTACTGGTTTGGAGAAGTGTTTGCACTGCCCTGGCTAAAGTGCACCTGCATTCATGGTCTCTGGGGGCGCTGACATCAAGTCTACATTCTGCTAACCCTAACCCAGCTTCTCCCTGGTGCTGGGACCCTAAAGCTTCTCCAGCCCTTTCCCAGTCTCTTTTACCCTTGAAGGAACTTCAGCTCTACCAATCCCAGACTGTAGAGGAAGAATAGGGCAGATAGACAACCATGGATTTGGTGGCTCAGTTACCTTGGGCAGATAGATGCAGGCTTATTTCCTTATGGATGTGTTAGCCAGTGGGGTTTATTTCTTTGGCCTATTCTAACTTTAGAGAAAAGTATGGTGGAGGGCTTGGCGTTCTGACTTCTGCCTGAGAGTACTCCGACTGATTTTGATTGCTTGTGTTCCTTTAGGCAAGTTGTCTGACCTCTTTGGGTGTCTGTCTCCCCACAGGTAATGGAGTAGATGATGTCTGATGATTATTGGTGAGGTGTGGTTCAAAAGCACACACATGGGGCTATAATACACACCTCAGACACCCTGGAAGAGACATATTACTGGGCCCAGCATCGTGGCCTAGTATGCATATGCTAGTATCCCTATGCCTAGTATCCAATATGCATATGGGATCCCATAATATATATAGATATATATTTATTTATTATATATCTATCTATATATATATATCTATTATTTTTATTGCAAAGTCAGATATACAGAGAGGAGGAGAGACAGAGAGGAAGATCCATCTGATGGTTCACTCCCCAAGTGACTGCAATGGCTGGTGCTGTGCTAATCTGAAGCCAGGAGCCAGGAACTTCTTCCAGGTCTTCCACACAGGTGCAGGGACCCAAGGCTTTGGGCCGTCCTTGACTGCCTTCCCAGGCCACAAGCAGGGAGCTGGATGGGAAGCGGGGCTGCCAAGTTTAGAACTGGCACCCATATGTATTAAAGGCAAGGACTTAGCTACTAGGTCACGGTGCCACCCCTTCCCCTCAAAAGCCCACAGTTAAAGAAAAAGAAAGAAAGAAGGAAATGCCCATGGACCCACCGGTATGTGCAAGATCTGGTATTGAGAGTGGTTCTGCTGGAGGAGCCTGGGAAACTCCTCTGTCATGCACCTGCATGCACTCTGACACAGTGCATGCAGGTGAGTGCAAGAACCACGATAGGGAGCAGCCCAGACCAGGCCACGGAAAGGTACCCGCTGGCATGCATTTGGCATAGGTTAGGGGCAGACCAAGCTGAATCAGATCACCTCACTCGCTGGCAAATCTGGGTGCCAGGACAGAGTGTGGGTCAAGCCAGGCTCAGTCACAACACATACTAGTACACATTACAGCTGGGACTGGGTGCCTGCTGGGCTGGGCTAGGCTATAATACCCACCAGCCTGAGCTGGAATTGGGGGTGGCCTGGGCCAGGCAGGGCCAAGCTATGGCACCTACTGGCAAATGCCAAGGTGAGGTGGGCCATGTCAGATCGAGCCATAGCACCCAACTAGCACATGTGAGAAACAGTGGGGGAGGGGAAAAGGTGGTAGGGGAAATGTGGAAGGCTCCCCTGCTGAACCGCCACTCCCACTGGAGAGCATGTTGGGATGGGGGCAGACCAGAATGGGCAGGGGTACAACACCTGCAGGCCTCATGTGAGCTAGATCAGAGAAAAGCTAGGCTGGGCTGACTGTTCCTACTGGTGCAAGCATAAATCAGAATGGGTGAGGATTGGTTGGGCTTTGCCACAGCATCAGTTGGCAGATGCTGGCACTGGGGGCTAATTCTGTCACATTAAACTGCAGAACCACCTGGAATGTGCATGATCTGGAAGTGGAAGTGGGCCCAGTAGGGAAATAGTGGGCACCTCCCTCTAGGGTTACCAGTCCCACAAGAAAGCATGAAAACCAGGACTGGGGCAGGCATGGCTAGACAGAAAGGCATCCACCAGCATGTGTGTGGGCTGGATAGTGGGGCTGGTTGGGTTGAACGAGGCTTCAATGCCCATTGACATGTAGGAGAGCTGAATGGGATGTGGGACAGACTGAGCAGTCTGCTGAACATACTGGCAAGCATGGGAACCAGGGCAGGGGGTGTGCCTGGTGGGGGTTATGGGGAGTTGCCCTGACTAGGCTTCAGTTACCAATGGTTTGCGTGAGTGCTGAGTGTGTGCTTGGCAGAATCAGGCTGGACTGCAACACCCTTTGGTTTGTGTGGAAGACAAGGCTGGAAATAGAATTGACCCAGCAATTGCAACCACCAGCATATGCATAAGCTGATTGGGATGACAGACTGCTGGGCCTTTTACTGGCGTGCACACACAAGAATCAGGCCTGAGATCACCTCAGACAAAGTTTCTTTGAGGATTCCCCCCAACTAAATTGCTGATCTCAGAACCTCAACCATGAAGAGAAGTGCAGGTTCCATGGTCTGACCATGTCAAAGCTGAGCCTCCTCAGAGGCTCTGATGGAGCAGTGGACAGCATATCCAAGTGCATATGGAGGATATGGCAGTCCTCCATATGCAGTGGATACTTGGTACCACAACAGAGGACGGAGGACAGAACAAATCAATCAGCCACCTCAGCAATGTGTTGGTAGTAAAAATCTGGGCTAACAGAGACTCTAAAGTGAACTATGTCAGCCAGTGAATTCTGGAGAGATTTCATTGTGCTTGGAATGGCGAGGTTGGCAGCAATTCAGAACTGTTGAACTATCAAAAGCATTTGAGCAGTGCCCTCAGAGCATGCCCCAAATCGGGGAACCCTGGGATGGGTGGGAGGCTGGGTAGGGCTTCTCCCTCTATCTCCCTCCTTACTCCAGATGCACACACAAAAAATGTGGAAACAATAGTCTTACCCACTTTCCTGTAGCCCTTGACCCTTTATGCCCTGATCAACTATGTAAAGATTATCAAAATAAAATAATAATTAAAAAAACAAAAGAAAGAAAAGAAACTGCTGAGGCCTTATTTGTAGAATGAGAACTGACCAGATAACTCTTTTCTGGCCTGGCTGGCCTGGCCTTGAGAAGCTGAAACCCAGTGCCTCGCAGCCCCAGCCCAGCTCCAGGACATGTTGAGCCAAGTCCAGCAGGCAGCTGGGATGTCCACTCCCTCTTTGTCTGTGGCCTTACCCTGGAGGCCCCTCCAGGAAGGGGCCTGGTTGGAAAAGACAAACAGACTTCTTCTTAGTGGGTTGGAAGAAGATGACATACTCGTAACCTTGCCCTTCTACTTGGATGCCCCTGGTGAAGTTGCGCCAGTCCTTTTTGTCTGGGGAGAGACAAGTAATGTTGCAGTGGGAGCAGCAAGTGTGGAGGAGCAGGAGCTAGTTGGGGCACAGCAGAGACACAGCCCCGGTTCTCAGAGGGCCTCTGTTGGAGGGGTAGAGGACAGGACAGGGAGGAAACACCCAGCTGAGGGAAGGTGGAGCTGGGATCCAGGCCAGCTCAGGAGTTCAGGAGGATTGTAGCACTGAAAATTCAATGTGCAGTTCCTACATTACTCAAAATAGTTCTGCACAGTAAAGTCCACCACCTACATTCTTCTTCTTCCTTTTTTTTTTTTTTTTTTGGTCCCAGGACAATTCTTATAATTGCATTCCATTTTTGGAAATACCAAGTTCTTCAAAGTAAAGCTGTTTTGGAGGTGGTGCCTTGTTTATGCTGTGTAACTCAAGGTGGTCTGTTCATCGTACCACCTGTCCACCACTGGGTGGGAGCACTCCCCTCCCCTAGTGTGAGTGACAGAGACAAGGAGACATCCATAGACAGACATGCACACACGCACACACACAGAGGAAAATGAAGGGCATGGCTCCCTTAGATCTAGAGGCTGTCTCTGGCCCCGAGGGGGTAGGTACTGAAATGAGCCATGGGCGAGGGGATCCCAAGGGTTTTTGTGGGGTTGAGGATGAAAAGGTTTAACAGAAAGTAAGGAGTTGCTCCAAAGTCAGAAAGGTGGATGTTGAGCTGGGCATTCTGCAACGGGGATACCCTGGACTGAGGGCAGAGGCCGTATGTCAGGGAGTACTCTCCTTACATCCACCTGCCTGGAGCTGTAGCACCAGGGGTGTGGTTGAACAGCAGGCTGGACTGAGCCTAGGAGGAGAGCCTATGGAATTCCTTCCCGAGGTCTCTGAACACAGGCAAAAGCAAGCCCTCACCGAGGGGGTGGGAGTGGGGGCCTGGGTTCTGGGGCTTTACCTGAGGTCACTTTGAATGCAGATGGGAGCTGGAATCCCTGTATGTGTTCTCGGTTGGATTTGAAGGAGGGCAGTTTGAACCAGCCGTCTGACTTGGTCTTCTCCAGATACTCATGGTACAGGCTCAGCATATCCGGACACCAGCTGGCATTGGGAACGGCGTAGTCTTTCAGGCCTTCCTTTCCCAGACAGAATTGGGAGATCTAGGCAGGGACAATCAGGGGGAGTAGCTGGCACGCTGGAGGGCTGGGACTGCTACAGGAGGAAGCTTGGGGGGGCGGGAAGGCAGGGTGCTGCGGGAGCTCCAGACCAGGTGTTCCCGGTCTTGTGGGCCGGGCCAGCCCTTCTGCCAGAGAATGAATGTGTGAGAAAGGACTCCTCTTCCCGGCAGAGGGCTTGAGGATCCTGTGGGTATCAGAACTAGGGACTCAGGAAGGGAGGCTCAGCTGAGGGGTTAGGAGCTGACTGTCTGGGTCCTGCTATTCTCTTTTCTTTTTAAAGATTCATTTATTTTTATTTGAAAGGCAGATCCACAGAGAGAAGGAGAGACAGACAGAAAGATTTTCCATCCACTGTTTCATTCCCCAAATGGCCACAACAGCTAGAGCTGAGTTGATTCAGAACCAGGAACCGGGAGCCTCTTCCAGGTTTCCCATGTGGGCACAAAGTTCCAAGGCTTTGACCCATCCTCTGCTGCTTTCCCAGGCCAGAAGCAGGGAGCTGGATGGGAAGCAGAGCATCTTGGCCCCAAACTGGCACTGGTAAGGCAGCCCAGCGTTACAAGGGTGCTTGAGCAGCTGAGAGGCTGAGAACTGCTGGATTTAGCCCCTCCCTATGGGTGGGCAAACTGAGGAAGCATGACTAAGGCTGCCAGGTTGGGAAGTGTGGGAGTTGATGGGAAGACAGACCCCTGACCACTGGGTGCATGCGGGATTAGGCTACCATTGCTGAGGGCTGCTTAAGCACCAGTCTCTCCTGGGCTGCTGCTCCAGCTCTGTTCATGGAGTAGCAGTGAGTTCATGGGGACACAGGGACTGGCCGCTTGCACATCCAGCTCAGCCGTGGGGAGTAAAGGAGCTGTCTGTCCGGACCCCTCCCCCAGGTACATGCCCCAGGTGGAGTCCTGCGGGAGAACAGGGCTTTGTTGATCAACCTTGTGGCTGTGCAGATTCAGACCAGGATGCAGATGTCTTGGGAGTTTACTTTTGAGATCTGGGCTACTTGGTGTCCTAGAGCACTTACTTGCAGCCAACCAAATACCATCTCCTCCCGTCAGCACTCCCCCAAGCACTTCTACCTGCCTTGCCATGAGGTGCGCCTGCGATCCAGGGTGCTCCTCAAGGTCATGTCTCTTTGGGGAAAAGCTGATCTTCCACTTGGCTGAGGTGGGGACCCACTTACCAAGGCATCTGTGGAGGAGCTGTACACAGAGGCGACATCAAGTCTGGGCAGGACACAGAAGGGCCCTGGGAGGGCTCTGGTGTGGCCAAGCCTTGTGATCACTTGGGAGCCTCTCCTGATCATGGCTGAGGGCTGGTCTGTGGGGGGTTGGCGGCAGGGGAAGTGCACGATGCTGGACTGCACCTCTGGGCTGTGCCTGCTGCTGCCTTCTCCAAGCCTCCCCTCTCTGTCACACGCAGGCTTTCTGGTCTCCCACTGCTGCAGGCTGCTTGGGCGGAGTCAGGCTGGGTTGGCACAGCACTCCCAGGTGCTTGGGGCCAGATCTCCACCCAGCACATGCTGGCTCTGGGAGAGGCTGACACTGCTTGGGAATGAATGGGGTACTTGGAGCCTGAGAGAACTCTCCCTTCCCTTGGATTTCTGCCAGTTGTGATAGTGGGGGTTATGGGGTAACCCCAGAACATTTTCAGAAAGATAATTTTTCCCCCCATGGATTGGAGGGTGGCAGGAAGTTGGAGGGAAGGCTTTGTAAGCTGGAATGTGATTTGGGGGGCTCAGCAAACCAGCTAACAGCCCTTAAACATACCGTTCTGGTCTAGAGATTCATCTTGCTTTATTTGAAAGGCAGAATGACCAAGAAAGAGGGAGAAACACAAAACGAAAGAAATCCTCCATCTCCTGGCTCACTCTCTAGGTGGTCACCATGGAACTTGAGGTATCCTCTGCTGTTTTCTCAAAAACATTAGCAGGGAGATGGTTTGGAAGAGGAGCAGCCAGGACTCAAACTGGTACCCCAATGGGGTGCCAGCACCACAAGCAGTGGCATTACTTGTTAAGCCACAGTGCAGGCCCCAGACACCTTCTTCTTGTGTCCTAGACAAGGAACAGCACTGGGAGGCCTCAGCCAGTAGGTCTTTGGTTGTGCAGCGAATTAAAGGCGACAAAAGGCTTGCAAGGTGAGACAGAAAGTGGTCTGGGAGGAAGCAACTGGCAAGTGGAACTTGAGGCTTTGGGAGCCTTGGGAAGGACAGATGGTGCTGGGAGTGAGAGAGGCAAACCTGAATGCTCTGGGTGGGCCTGCGGGGGGGCACTCAGCCCACTTCTGTGAGGCTATGGGCCTTCTTTTGGCGGTGCTGTTGCTTCTTCTATTGAACTAGAATGTTTCGGAGAAAACGTTAGCTCAGAGAAAGCACACGTCTCCTAGATCTGGACTCTCTAGGAGCTCAATTAGGAAAAATGGGGAAGGGAGCAGAAAAATGCCTCTTAAAATCTTTTTTTTTTAAATTTTTAAATTTATTGACACACACATACAGAATCTGCTGGTTTACTCCCCTCAACTGCCTGCAAGGCTAGAACTGGGTTAGGCAAAAGGCAGGAGCCTGGCACTCAATTCTGGTCTCCAGGTAGATGGTAACAACCCAGCACTTGAGCCAATACCTGATACTTTCCATGACACACATTAGTAAGAAGGTAGAACCGGAAGGAGTTGGGACTTGATCCTAGCCCTGAGAAATGGAGTATGGGCTTCTCAAGTGGGTGTCTTAACTGCTGTGCCCAATGCCCATCGCTCCTGTTAGATTCTGGCTGGGTCTGTTACCAGCTAACTTGGAACTCATGGGTGCCTGTTGAGTCTGGAGAATTCTCTTGCTAAGAGAGCTCTGGTCTTGACAAGGATGGTACATAGGAGTAGCAGCAATGAGCTGCTGGGGTAGGCAGTTTATGGGTGGCAGTGGTGGGGTGGGGAGATAAGCTGGGGGGAGTTCTGATTGGCAGCATTTGCCAGTGTCTGTGGCGTAAACATCTCCACTGTGGCTGACTTTGAGCTACCCGTAGGAAGCCCCTGGCCTGGATGTGAGGTCTGGAAAACATGTGCACAGCTTTTGCAAGCCAGCACACTCTGCACCAGAACCTCACTGGCTGCTTCCTGAAGGAGATCGGGGCCAAGGGAGGCCTGGCAGATCAAACCCAGACCTTGACTCACTCTCACTTCTCTGTTTGGAGTTCCCTTGGAAGGTTGACCATGGAGCAGACTTCCTGGCTATTCTCTAAGTTCCAAGGACAACTTTGTAAAACTTTGTAAAAAGATTTATTTTTATTTGCAAAGTAGATTTACAGAGAGAAAACACACACACACACACACACACACACATACACACACACACACACACTCTATCTTCTATCTCCCTAAATGGCTACAGCAGCCAGAGCTGAGCTGATCTGGAGCCAGGAGACAGGGGCTTCTTCCATGTCTCCCACATGGGTCCAGGGGCCATCCTCTGTTGCCTTCATAAGCCATAAGCAGCGAGCTGGATTGGGAGTGGAGCAGCCTGAACTCAAACTGGCACCCATATAAGATGCTGGTGCTGCAAGTGAAGGGATAGTTTGCTGAGCCACTGTGCCAAACCCACAGGATAAGTTTTTTGAGAGATATTTACTCTTCATCACGAATTGTAGAACCCTCCACCCTCCACGTGTTGGTGGTCTTGGAAGCGCCCCACCCCCAGAGCGCTCCTGCAGTGACTGTGGGGTACCCAGTGCTTTGGAGCAGCATTGCTGAGCTGGCCCAGGTGGCCTTTCGGGATGAGGACGGGATGTCTGTGAATGCTGTTGGTAAACCTCCTCCCTCTGTTCCTTCTACTGAAGACCCGGCCCAGTGGGCTTATCCTGGGCAGTTTTTAGGAGGTTCCCAGAGTGCTCAGGTCTCTTTCAGTGTGCACCTGCTGGGAGGCTGGACTCTTTCTGCTTTTGAGCCTGGAGCAGAGGTCAGCTGGACAGGAGTTGAGCAAAAAAAAAAAAAAAAAAAAAAATCCCCAGGTGTGCTTAGTGGGGCGACCCTGGCCCTGTTCCACTTGGGAGGCAGCTGCTGTGATGGAGTGTGGGCCCACATGCCAGTTCCTTTCATCATTCAAGCAAAACTAGCAGCACATCTACTTCCCCGTGTACTCTGGTAACCTTTGGATGTTGCAACTGACTGACAGAACTACTGCATGTGCCAAACCCAAGTCTCTGATTGGTTCTTGTTCTGTGAGCTGCCGGTCATGCCACCTGGTTCTAAGCTGCTTTCTGAGCCCTTCCTTTCCAGGAAGCAGGCTGCCTGCCTGCCTCCATCTGGTCTCCCCACTGAGCCGTCTCCTCTTGCTCTTATAGAGACCTTGCCGACCTTCCTTCCCAGCCACCCACTATGGGCTCTTTGGCAAGAACTGAATCCTCACCTGTTGGGATCTGTCTGGTAGAGGGCTCTGTGCCACCATGGGGGTTTTGCTTGAATGCCTGTCTTCTAAGTCTTTGCCTTTGCCTTGGGTGGCAGCTGAGGTTCAGGCAGCCCAGGGCTGGTAGAAGACCAGGGCAAAAACTGGATTAGTAACTGGAAAAAAATAGTTTCTGTAAGCTATGGCATGGGTAGCCCTGGGCACTCCCCCAGGGCTGGGCACAGCGGGGCCAGGACAGTGGAGGAGCTTCTATGAGCTCTTGGCAGATGCTGAGAATATTAACTAGGTTGAGGGAGAGCCAGGCTGGGCTAGCCGATTGTATCTACTGGTATATGTACGGGCCAGGATAAGAGCAGGCTGATTGGGCTTTGCCACAGTATCAGCTGGCAAGTGCTGGGATTGGGAGGGCGAGCCCTGTCAAAGCTAGACTGTAGAACCATGTAGAGAGTGCAAGATCTTGGATTGGGAGTGAGCCCAACCTGAGTAGAGTAGGCGACCTGTGGGCATTTCTCTGATGGGCTGCAACTCCCACTGGTGAGCATGAGAACCAGGACTGGAAGTGGACCTGGCTAGACAGGTGGTGGCACCTGCCAGTGTGAGTATGGACAAAGTAGTGGGGTCAGTTGGGTTTAGCTAGGCTTTAGTGCCCAATGATGTGTATGAGAGCTGAATGGGATGTGGGACAGACTGGAATAGTCTGCTGCATATGCTGGTAGACACAGGAACCAGGGCTGGGGGTAGGCCTGGTGGGATTTACTAGGGGGAACTCTGACTAAGTGGCAGTTCCCACTGGCGTATATGAGGGCTGAGTGTGTGGTGGGCAGGATTGGGCTGGGCTGCAGCATCCATTAGTTTATATGAGATGGGGCTGGAGAACTGACCCAGCGATTGCTACTAACAATGTGTGTATAGGTTGATGTGGGTGATAGACTGATCTGGATCCTGTACTGGCAAGCACACAGAAGAGTCAGGTCTGGGAACACACCAGTTGAGGTTTCTTTGGGTATCCCCTAAATGAACCACTTGGATGCAGAACTCCAGTCATGGGGAGAATTGCAGGATCTGTGTCTGACCGTGTTATCCATATGTCAGAACTGGGCTTCCTCAGTGGCTAAGACAGAGCAGTGGATGTCATGACCAGATGCACAAGGAGATTGAGGCCTGCAGAGGACATCTGGTACCACTGCAGAGGAAGGAGGGCAGAACAAATTGGTCAATTACCCCAGGGAAGCTTGACCGCAAATTTCTGGCAAATGGAGACTCTAAGGTGGACAGTGTCAGCCAATGGACCTTGGAAGGATTTCCTCATCCTTGAAGCAGTGATATGAATAGCATGTCAGAACTATTGAAACCACTTGAGCATGGAACCCTTGGAAAATGCTCCACTTTGGGGACCCTGACTGTTCCCTTGGGTACTGAGGTGGCTGGGAGGCTGGGTGTGGCTTCTCCCCTTGTCTTCTCTCTTCCCCCAGCTATAGAAAGAAGAAAAAGAAAATTTGGAAAACAATGGTCTTACCCACTTTCCCCTAATCTTCAACACTTCTCACGCTAATTAATTATGTAAACATCACCAAAACTAAGCTAAACTAAAACTAAAATAAAAAAATTACCGGTGAGGCCCAGGTTCCTGAGGCCATCGCACCAGTACCAGCTCCAACCACTGCTCAGCTGGGACTGCCTCTCTGCTAGTGAAACTTATAGGGCAAGTGCACTGAGCTCAAACAGCTGCAGGGACAGTTCCTGAAGGGGTGTGTGTGCACACTCGGGGTGAGGCACACAGGCCCTGGACCACCTGAGATCACCTCCTTCTTGAATCCAGACTATAATGTGTGAGGGTCTACCTTCCAGCTAATGGGATGGCCATGCAGTACCATTGGCACACCTGCAATTTGGGGGAAAACAGTCATCTTTCTGATGAAATGAGAGACACCTTGTACCCTAGCATAGCTAGAGCTCCTGTTATTTCCTAGGAGACCAACTTTTGTGCCAAGCTGCTAAGCCCTCCAAGTGTTCGTGAT